CGGCGCGGCGGGCGGGGAGACGCAGGTGGGCAACGACCTGGGCAGCCCCGAGCCGCTGCGCTGGCTGCTCCGCTCGCCCTTCGACCGCGACGTGCCGGTGCAGCTGGAGCTGCAGGAGCTGCTCTTCGACCACGTCTTCCAGCGCCTCGGCGTCTCCTCGCAGGTGCCGGGGCCGGGCCGGGGGCGCACTGGCTCGGTGGGCTGCCGGGGCTCTCTGGGGAGGCCCGCAGGGGCCTGCTAGGGAGCGGCTTTAGAGGGCGTGCAGCCCTCCGCTGGGGGTCCCAGCGCACGCGGAAGAGTAGGCCCCTTAACGTGTGCCGGCCCTTTTCTGCCCTGCGAAGCTCTTCCGAAGAGCCTGATCCTTCGTCCGCCCCCTGCTCTTCCGCAAGATCTGGGCTCCTCAGTGCCCAGGACATGCTTGCTAGTGGAAGTCGGGCTCTTTGGCCTCTTCCAGATGTGCAGGGAAAGACGGGGTAGGATCTCCTTGTGCCCTCCGCACCTGGCACTTCCTGCTGTTGCAGCACGCGCGGGGCAGGAGGCGCGATTGTGGGATCCAGCACCAGATCCCTTAGCACCGGCAGAAGGGGACTCGGGATCATGGTTGCAGGCTCCCCCTGCACCTGCAGGGAACAAATTCCCATGGCTAGGAGCTCAGTGTGACCCTACGGTTGGGAGCACCATCAGCTGCTGGGGCTCCTGGCTGCACGTTCAATTCATGGCGTCATAGGAGCCAGCCGCCAAGGCCAGGTACAGACATTACATGTTTACTGGTACAAGTAATCAGAAACCAGGCTATACCCAGAACAGAACAGAAGTTTGGCATGCACAGACTGGTCTAAAAATTGCAGAGCCCAGTCTAAGATTTGCCTCCCAACCCCTTGTCCCCACTCCCCCTGCCACCAAAGGGCGAATCATAGCCAATTAGGGTTGGAAGGGACCTCAGGAGCTCACCTAGTCCTGTTCACTACCTATCTAAACTATACCACTTACAGAAAGCCACGTAACTTCGACAGATTCCACCTCAGGCTTTTTAAATGTCTGTACCTAGCCAAAATTATTTCATATATTTTATGAAATCATTTTATGGCTTATTTCGGTTTTATGACACCATTAATTGCTTTAACATTTGCCTGGGTTGCAACTTAAAACGCAGTTAACTGGCTAATCAGGTCTTAAGTGTAATGTGTGGCAGGGACCTTTGTCATTTACACACGCTTCAAAAAATCTGTTGTCTTTCCTAAAGTAATTCCCAGGATCCTTGTTCAATTAATGGTAGAAGCTACAGTATAGATAGGGCTCTGGCGTTTAGTATTGTGTCCTTTATATGGGATGCTTTTTCATTGCTCTGTTTTTATTTTGCATTGCCGCTGGTATCTGTGAATTATTTGGCCTTCAGCAGAGGTTGAGGGTGACCAGTGGAAGTTGTAAGCAGTTGAAGATGTGAAACGCTGTCATCACTCTGTAGTCTCTGTTGAAAATAGTTAGGATAAGATCTATCTGGTATCACATTGATCAGGTCCCCTCTTCCTAAAAAGGCAGGGTTTTGCAGGAGATGGGCAATATTAAACTGATTCAACTTTTAGTCTCATTCATATTTTAAGAGAGTGAATGTCCATTATATTACTCTCCATAATATTACCTTCTCTTTCACTTGATCACCTGCAGGGTTGTGTTGACCATCCAATCATTTTAACAGAAGCTGTGTGCAATCCACTATATTCAAGACAAATGATATCAGAGCTCCTGTTTGAATGTTACCAGGTCCCAAAGGTTTCCTACGGAGTGGATAGTTTGTACAGCTTCTACCACAACAAAAGACAGAACTGGCCTTGTAGTGGTCTAATAATTTCTTCTGGTTATCAATGTACACACATTTTGCCAGTCTTGGAAGGAAGGTGAGTAACTGTGCTGCACAGCTATTCGTATTTTGAGTACTGAAGTGCAGATGGCAGAGACAACAAGTTCTTTCAATGTACCATGTTGTGTCTTGTTCCAGCATTTGCTTAAACCTGAACTTTGTTAGGCCCGGTTTATTTTACAGTGAGGGAAGACATTTATCTGAGATGGCAAAATTTTGAAACCTCAGCTACAATGTAAATGTTAGAATGAAAAAAAATCATCTTTGTAAAATATATATGGTGCAGTTTCGTTGTTATTATGTGTCAGTAAATAAATCCATATATATGAAAAAGAGCAGAATCTCTTCCCACAGTAAAATATCAGGTGTCCAGTACATAGTAAAAAAATGGTTGTGTTTTGTGTTTTAATGTGACTCTGGGTGACTGCAAATGCTATTTCAGATCATATTTTTGCCTTAATGATAAAGACTGGCCCATATACTAAAGAAAGTGGGCCTGTGATCCTTCAAGAAAAAGTAAATTCTTGTTCTAGTCATATAGCAGGCCAATTGTGCAATATTTCACAGGATAAGGGACAGAAAAGACCATTTGTCTCCTCTGAAAATCAGTTACTCCTCCTTGAAGTAGGAAAATGTAGTGTCCTCATCTTAACCAGAAACACTAAATATTTCTATTTCACAAAATAGTCCTGGCAAAGCAATTCCCTCATTCTCCATGGTTGCATATTCCACTGGCTAATGACACACAGGGTAAACGTGTATGCCTCATGAGTTGCAGTGAGAGAGTCTTCATTTTAGTAATAACCTCCACAGGGATCTTTTATTCAAGCTTTTCTTGATCAGTTTTGCTCCTTTTACTTTCCTGCCAGATTCTTTTAATGGAGCTGAAACCAGCATGCTGTATGTGTTTCAAGAAGTCTTGTGACCGTTTTTAGGATTTTCAGTTCATAGGAACTGAAGACCTTCAATAGGAACAGAGCACTTCTGGCAGCCATCCTTGATATATTTCTTCTGTACAGTTCTGCCACCGCAGACCCTTCTTAAAAAAAACAAAAAACCTCAGGATTTTTGAAGCTGAGTACTGCCTATAGGTCGGGGAGGGTAGCAGACCTGCTGAATCAGCAAGTATCTATGTATTTTAAGGACTCTAGGTATTTCTCTGTCTTGTTGACTGTTGAGTATTACTTGCTATCCTTCTGCAGTTACGAACCTTTCCAGTTTTAGTAATGTCTCTCTGTTTGGGTTATTAGATTAGATGCTAAAAACTGCAAACGTATCAATCTTGGAGGATGCCAGGCAGCTGTGTATCTTCAACGCCTTCTGCAGCTCAAATACCCTGGGCATTTTGCTGCCATAACTCTCAGCCGCATGGAGGAAATACTGCATGAGCACAGTTATATTGCAGAAGATTACATAGACGGTAAGGCTTGCAGTAACTTGCTACTATGCGGTTTTCATTCAAACTTAGTCCTATCCTCTACATTCCTCATTGCCAAGCAGGTAGAAATATTGTTTGCTGAGATTCTTGCAGCCTTCCTGAAGGCTGACTGGCTTTCCCCAGCACTTTCTCCCCCTTCATCCATGCATAGTAAATGGCCAGTAACTACAACCTTGCCCAGCACCTGCTCTCTGGGACGGTCCAGTTCAGAGTACAGTAGATGGGAAATGTGAGTAGTCATTGCCTGGCAAAATGGTCCAGTGTGGTAGATGATGAACTCAGGATAGATCACAGGTAGGCAAAATACGGCCTGCAAGCCAGATCCCACCCACCAACCAGATATGGCCTGCCAATTGGCTGAATTCAGCCAGTGGCTGCCCCTGAAGTACTCCACATGGAGCTGAGTCCCACCTGCTCCCACCAGGGCAGCCCACACTGGGGTATCCTGCCAGCTGTGGCCACAACCAGCGTACAGCTTCTGGTGGGCAGTTTGCAGTGCAGCTGTGGCTGGTTGGATGTTCCTCTGCTCCTCTCTCCTCCAGTGGGAGCTTCCCTTTCTGCCCACCCGGAGTGGTGCAGCAGGGGCAGGAGTGGAAGGAGGAGCTGCCACTAGTGGTGAGGGGAGCAGAACAATACCCAGCCAGCTGCAGCTGCACCAGAAATGGCCCCACTGGAAGCTGTATGCTGGCTGGGGCCTGCAGGGCTGTTCTGCTCCTCATCTCCAGCTGCAGCTGCTCCTGCCATGCTGCTCCAGGTGGGGGAAGCTTCAACTGCGTGGCTTCTGCCTAGTGCATGGAGCTTTGGCTCCAGCTTCCAGTCACCTTTCACCTGTTCTGCCCACCCGCCTGCAGGGGCTGCTCATTGAGCCTAGCGGAAGGCAGCCAGGAGCTGGAGCTCCATGCGCTGGGCAGGAGCCTCCCCCTGAAGCTTCCCCCTGTCTGCCCAGAGCAGCATGGCAGGGGCAGCACCAGCAGCTGGAGGCAAGGGAAGCAAAACAGCACTGGCCAACGCACAGCTTCTGGTGCAGCTGCAGCTGGCTGGGTGCTGATGTCTTGTCCTC